GTCGCTTTCCTTTCCTTTACTTTTCTTTTTTCCTTTTTTCCTTTTTTTTTAATTTCAAACGAAAGATTCAATAAAAAAAAAAAAAAAAAGAAAGAAATTTTCGTGTGTGAATAAAAAAAAAAAAAAAAATTTTTTTTCAACCCCTTCGTTCGTAAAGTTCGTATATAATAAACCTCAAAGAATTTTTTTTTTTTTTTTTTTTTTCCCAATCGCAAATGTTTTTGGTGCGTTATTTTACTCCCCGTTTCCGGTCACGCAACCAAAGACTTTACCGTAATCATCGTGTCTTAGTAATTAAAAAAAAAAAAAAAAAATTCGTTTTGCGTTTTATTTTCATTTTTTCCCAAAGACATATAAGATGGAATCTTTATCGAAATTGGACAGGTGGTTGTGAGGGTGGTTAAAAGGCGAATGGGGGGATGAGGGTGCGTTACGGTTATTTACGAGGGGAGGGGGGATGACGATGATGATGATTTCGATTAATTTTATTTTGCCCATAGTAATTCCGCCACCCAAAAATTACGTGGGAATAAAATTTTTTTAATATTTCCGACCATATGTTTTAAAAAAGAATTTTTTGTAAAATACGATTGATAAAAAATGATAATAATAATGATAATATGAAACTGTGACGTCACATCCCTTTAAAAAAGAAATTTTTAAACGTAATAATGATAATAATTAAAAGAAAACAACTTGGGTATTTAAAAAAAATCGCGCCAAAAAAAAATTTAAAAAAAAAAAAAAAAAAATTATCCTTTGATTTTTTTCCCCCGCAATTTTAATCGCAAATCGTTTTTTTTCCTTTCCTTTCCTTTGTTTCCTTTCCTTTTTTTTTATTGATTTCCTTTAAATGTTTTATAGATACGTTATCAGTATTTGTTTGCCTTTTCTATTAACGTAAATAAGACCAGATATATATTCATTTTTTTTTCTGGTTTTCTTTTTATTTATCTATCCTATGCTTAAATTATTAATATTTTGGACAAAACAAAAAAATTCTACGCCATTTTGCAAAAAAGAATATTTAAAAAAAAAGGTTTTTTTTTTTTTTGTATATAAAATTCGATACCGTTTAAATGGTTTAAATAAAAAAAAAAAGACCGCCAAAACAAAAAGAAAGAAAACAGGGTCGAGATGTATGTAGTGTAAAAGGGAGAATTTTTTTTTTTTTGTTGTTGTTGTTGTTGTTAAAAAGATGAAGTAAGGGGATGAAAAAAAAAAAGGCAAAAAAAAAAAAAAAAAGTCGCAGCAGCGTAAGAACTCGTTTTTTTTTTTTTTTTTTTTTTTCGTTTGAATTGTACGTTGTTGTTGTTGGCACGGGCCTTACACCACAAAAGTAAAGCTAAAAACTCATAATAAGGGATGGAAAAAGGAAAAAAAATAATTAGGCGCGATTAAAATTTGTTTTTTTTTTGCTAAGAGTCGAAATTTGCTCCAAGTTGAATTTCTTTAAATTTTTTTTTTTTTTTCGATTCGAATTACATTAAACCTTTTTATAATCCTTTAAAAAAAAAATTTGCTAGCCGACAGGGCAAAATCTATAAAATGCAAAAAAAGAGGAAATTGGTCAATAACGATGACGTCACAAAGTTCGAATTAAATTCGCGCCTAAATATAAATTTTACAGATGATAAAAAAAAAATTGATACGAATTGAAAACATTGTTAAGAATAAGGCGAAACCAAAATCGACTTTTTCTCTCTCTCTCTAACTCTCTTCGTATTTATCCCCTCTCTCTTTCTCACTCTCCTTTTACTCTCTTTTACCAGAATAAAGCATATGCGATGTAGCAGATGTTTGAACTTTGCCAAAAGGTGTAGTATACATACATACATACATACATATATACGTTCGTATTTTAATATTAAGACCCCACGAAAGCGCAACCCTCTTCTTTTTATCTTACAACCACCTGGAGGTGAGTGTTCTCCCGAACGTGTCTAATGAACAACAATCTTTTACAAGACCCACCACCACCACCACCACCACCACCAACGTCACCAACGCCACCATTCCCGATTCCCTCCTTACCGTTTACTACCTTATAAAAAAAATTTGTATTTACCTTTAATTTCTTCCCTCTCTCTCTCTCTCTCTCTTTTTCCTCCCTTAACTCCGGTTGTTTACGTTTTTCAAAATACGTTTGCTTTTTTTTAACCGCCAAAATTTCGAAGGTTTTTTAAAGTTATACGTCATGACGATGAAATTCTCACCTGCCTGTAAACAGAAAAAAAAAAAAATTAAATTATTTATTCGGTTATTTAAAAAAATTTTTTTAATTTTGTATCAATTTTTTTTTTTTTTATTACGTAACAACGTTTTAAACAATTTGATTGTCGTAACAAACAATTTCTTAATTAATTAATCGAAAGGATGAAACAAACAAACATGGCGGTAACAAAAAATTGTTGTAGTGGTAATAATAATAATAACGTTAAAAAAAGGAGTTCAATAAACGTGGGTCATTTTTTAAATAAAATATTCGTATTACGATGACTAACCTTTTTGGTGGGGGGAGGGGAGGTAAGGGGAAGGGTCAGCTAAAAACCGTTAATTAATTTAATAAATAAGATTTTAAAACTTACCCGAAACAAACAACAAAAAACGAAGCGTTGACGTTTTTTTCGGTTTATCCGAATTCAAGCCGAAGATTTTTCATTTCGTTAAACGTCATTTCCTGTAACAAAATAATAATAATAATTAATAACAATAATAATAATAAAAGAATCATTAAAAAAAAGAAATGGAAAAAAGTAACAAATTAATTAATTAATTCAAAACGTGTAAAAAAAAAAAGAAAAAAGAAAGTAAATAATTTATGCAATTTCTAAAACGATATCAACAAGTGTTGATTTCAAATTTAATGGGAGCAATAATGATAATAATGATAATAATAATAATTATAATATAAAAGGCTTTTGTGTGTCGTTTTACTGGATTCCCCGTAATTAAATCAAAATCATTTGACGTAGAAAATAGGGTTTTAATAAATGATAAATTTCGTATATCGATGACGTTTTTTTTTTTTTTTCTCGTGGGGGGAGGGAGGGAGAGGAGGTTTGTTTTCCATGTGGCGGAAAAAACTCACGCGAAAAAAAATTTAAATGGAAAGACGATGTAAACAATAATAATAATAATAAAAAAAAAAATTTAAATAGGTTTAAAGACCCCCAACAAAAGATAAGAATCGTTAAGGAAAGGAACAACACATGACAATTGCACAAGGATGTTTACATCATCGTTGTTACCTTTAAATACTTTGGGCCCTATTAAAAAAAAATACCAAGAAAGTGAGTAGTTTAAGTGAGGAGGTGTGCGAGGGTTGTTAAAAAAAAATTGATCAATGAAACAAATTCTGGCCAGGTGTATGTATGAATCGCGGAAAGAACCGGAATCAAGCCCAGCTGAGCACATATATACATACGTCTAGAGGAATATATTGGTTATTAAAAATTTTCGTTAAAATCGCTAAGGGTATCAAAATAAATTTATAATCAAAGGCGACGTTTCATTTTTATTCCTTTCCCCCATCGTCGTCGTCGTAGTGTTTCGCGTGCAATATCAAACAAACAAACAAACAAACAACATCGTCAACATCAATTAGAGAAATCGACAAAAAAAATCTCGCGATAGAAATTATCACAAAAATTTTTCCTAGTTTCGATTTCGATTAAATATTAACCCTCCCCCCCTTAAATTATATATATTTTTTTCGTACGCCTATGATCCATATTCTTTAAACCCAACGTCCAGATGCGGATCAGAAAAGACGTACAAAAAAAAAAAAAAGGGGGGGATGGTTACGTGTCTTATTGTCCTTTAAAAAAAAAAAAAAAAAAAAAAAAAGAGGGGAAGTTTGATTTTCTGTTATCGTACTCCAGAAGAATGATTTTGAAAACGACGTGGCATTAGGGTTTGCCAACTTCCATCTTTAATTTTCCCCTTTTTTCACTGTAAACAAGATAATTATATTTCAACGTATATATATATACTCATATTGTAACGAATTTTTCTTTCTTTTTTTTACCCGTCAATTTTTTTCTCCTTCGTTGACTCCCTTTTTCTTAATCTTAAGACGCCGTTTTCCTTCCTTGGGTGCGTTAAAGTCGTTGAAAGTCGTTACGACAATTATCGTTTAACCTTTTTCGGATGAATTAATTTTTTTTTTTTTCTTAACCGGCATTTCTGACCAGTTTTTTTCTTTCTTTCTTTCCGTTTCTATTCAATGCTGTGTTAATTTTATTTATAATTTATATCCTGTATTTTATTTTTCATCCCCTTCTTCTTCTCCTTCTTCTTTTTTTTTTTTTTTTTTTTTGTTGACTACAATGTGCGAATGCGTAATAATAATTTATAAATTCATGTTTTTTATTCTATGTAAATCCTTTTCCTGAATAATTAAATATTATTGTATTTACAAAATCATGACGTATTAACTGGAATCATTAAATCATTTCCGTTTGAATCGAATCCAATGTGATTTTTTTTTTTTTTCCCCCGAAAATTTTGCAATGAATTTTCAAGTAAGTTACAAAGTAATTGTAAATTTTATTATTATTATTTTTCAATATAAGAAAGAACAGTTGTTAGCTTTGCGAAAATGGAGGGGATCCAAGTTAAAAATCAACCCCTTCCAGCCCTTAAATAAGAATTCCAAATGTTCCGTTATAACAAAAAAAAAAAAAAAAAAAAAAACAACAACAGAATCTTAAAGACCTTGCAGCTGTGCGGTATTGGCATCCCTTCGTTTTTAAAGTACGGGACCTAAAGAACAAAAGAAAAGACAGGTGTGCAACTTTAGGCGTGTGTGTTCTTCTTACTTTGACTATTTTTTTCCATTTCACCTTGTAGGTTGAATATGACGAAAAGAGTCTGGAATCAAGAGGGGATCATTGCGCCGTGGTAGGGGAATTTATCCCCCGTGTTCGAGCCACTGGCTGAAGCGACCAGCTGCCGGAGGAGGAGTCCTCGGCCAATACCAAACGGTTTCACTTATGATGTCATCGGAGGAGAATCCTAATTGCTGCGGAGTCATTGAAAATAAACTTTTACAAAACAAAGTAAAACGTACGCGACAACGTGTGGACGCGGGGGAACCGAGGAATAGTTATTCTTCGATACCTAATTTCAGTTCTCGCCCGTCGTTTCTAAGTAGTGGGTTGTACAGTGCTATTTTCAATCCGGGTCAGAAGCATTTCGGGTTTTTCGGTCCGGGCTTCGCGCCCGCAAAAATGCTCAATGAGCTACTAAATAGGCAAGTGAAAACAGGTAGCGAAGCTTCGAGTCCCGTCGATAGCATGATTGCCGTAGATGCCTCAAATTCCGAAAGTAAAATGAATTTGGATTGTTTGAAATCCCCGGCTATAATGCGTCAGAGTTTGGACGAAGAAAGCAGGCAATCTTCGCAAGATGAAATGGCACACAACATGCTTAGGGATATTCTGCAAGGTCGCAAGAAAGAATTGCTAGCATTGGAAAACGAGTTGAGAAGTGTTAGTGCAAATGGTGTTAAACCCGAACCGTTGTCGCTAGAAAATAACAATACTATTAATAACAATAATAATAACAATTTAAACAATAATAATGTAAAAATTGAATATAAAAAAGGTGCTTTAAGTGATGTGATTGAAAGTGACATAAAGTCAAGTTCCGTCGGGGAAATGTTGTCACTGAATGAGAGCGATGGCCTTAACGTAGACAGTGATAATATAAGCGTGGATCAGGAAAATTCAACCGGGAATTTAGACGAATCCCCGTGTGAAACCCGAGTTAAAACGGAAGACGCACTAAGTACCTTTAATAGCAATGTTTGTTCAGACTCCGAAGCCTCGATTCCATCTCCTCTGTCAGAAACCAAAGAAGACGCGGATACAGATGTTCCTTATACGAAATCTCCCGAACCGAGACCGCAAAAAACAGGACAAATAGAATTAAAACGAGCTAGAGTTGAAAATATTGTTTCGACAATGAGATCTAGCCCGACATTACCGATCCCCGTGAATGGATGTAAAAAAAGAAAATTATACCATCCTCAACAGCACGATATTAGCGCAGCAGAACGTTATTCGGATAACGGGTTAAGTAACAACGGAAGTTTGGGTACCATTTTGGACGATGAAGATTCCGAACCTCCGGAACTCAGACAAAAACTCGTTGAGAAAAACGCTCTTAAAACGCAATTAAGATCAATGCAAGAACAATTAGCGGAAATGCAACATAAATACGTACAATTGTGCAACAGAATGGAGCAAGAATCCGAATGTCCGGATCAAGATGACGTGGATCCAGATGCAGATGTAGGAAGTGATACGGAGCCAGAGGTAAGAAATTCTTCTTCTGAAAAACCGGGAAACAGTTCGGCCGCTCCAGCCTTTCCGTTTTCTTCGACGCCTACAACTCAAACATCTTCCTCCCCGTCAATTCCTAATTTAATCTCTTCGAAACTCCATTCTTTAAACGCTCCTTTAAATCCGGACAGTCATTTACTACTTCCGAATATGAATGGTCCTCTATCGATGGTGCAAAATCAACATTTACCACATTCGGATCACCCGAATAATTCAGCTTTACATTACGGGCAACACGGTTTTAGTAATGCTGCAGCAATGTATTTAGGAGTGAATCATAAATTATTTTTCGATCAGGAATCCAAAGTATCAAAATCCGAAAATCCGAGTGGATCATCGGAATCGCAGCATCACCACCACCACCACCACCATCACCACCAAAGCGTTTCGCAAAGCAAACAAGAATTAAAAGCGCAGCAAAAAACTCTTAATTTAAGCAGTAATTTATCTCATTCATCGCAATCTCATTTAAATTCAGGACATTCCCAATCATCATCCTCAAATCATCACGTTCAAAATATACAAAGTGAAATACAAAATCGTTTGCAATCTCCCCAAAAGAGATCCTCCTCCGAGTTCTCGGAAAGACTTTCAATGTTTCGAAACACCGTGTCGGGGGTAGGACCGGTTACGGGTACTGATTTAGAAGGACTCGCGGATGTGCTCAAAACTGAAATAACTTCTTCTTTAACTAATTTAATTGATACCATTATTAATCGATTCGTTCAACAAAAACGATTAATGGGTAAACAAACAGAGACTGCATCCGTTGCGGCCGAGCAATTAAATAAAGATCTTATGCTCGCATCGCAATTATTAGATCGTAAATCTCCGCGAACGAAAGTTATCGACAGAACGCCGAGCGCGTCCGGAGAAAGATTAGGAAATTCCCTTTCAAGTGGCACGCAAAAAACAGGGCCCACGACATTACCGATTCCGCATCAACAAACTACGCCGATAAGCACGGCAAACAGCACTCCAGCAAATACGCCTAATTCAGAAATAGCCAGCAACAGTACGAGCGTTCCCGTGCGTCCTTCGCCGAGCAATTCAATGTTTCAAGCTCCGAAATTACCCAGCGGTGGAATTAATCCGGCCGCAGCAGCAGCTTTGTATTCATCCATAAGCGGAATCGGAGTACCGAATACAAATCCGCTATGTTTATCAACGGAATCCAGAGACAGCATTCCCGAACAAAATGAAGCGTTAAGTCTAGTCGTTGCTCCGAAAAAGAAAAGGCATAAAGTAACAGATACGAGAATCACTCCCAGAACGGTGAGCCGCATTCTAGCCCAAGACAATATGGGACCTTCTCCCTCGAATTTAAGCGAGCAAACCAAACAATTCAACAACATAATAGCATCAACAAGCAACAACAGCGGAGCCGAATCCCCGCCTCCCCGATTATATCATCCGCCGTCTATGTTGCCCGTATCCTTACCGACATCGGTGGCTATTCCCAATCCGAGTCTTCACGAATCCCAAGTTTTTTCTCCCTACAGTCCTTTTTTTCACCAGCATCAATCTCATCACATAAATGGAAGTCCCCCAGTTATGGTAGATCACAGGGATTCGCCTCCTTTAACAAATCCCCCTACCATATTACATCCGGCACTTTTAGCTGCTGCTCACCACAGCGGCACTCCCGATTTTGTTCACTTCAGAGGAAGTTCCGGTTTGGGAGATTGTGGAGATCGAGGTTCAGAAGGAAATAGTGGCGATGGACCGTTTGATGGACTTCAACCTTCGATATCCTTTTATTATACAAACGAAAAAAAAAAAGAAAAAAAAACTCACGACAAAAAAAAAACCGTTAAAAATCATTCAATAAAAAAAAAAAAATATTTTCTTAACTGTTATGTTTACTCGTCAACTTTGACTCCGATGCATTTACGGAAAGCTAAATTGATGTTTTTCTGGGTTCGCTATCCTAGTTCTGCTGTATTAAAAATGTATTTCCCGGATATTATGTTCAATAAAAACAACACGGCTCAATTAGTGAAATGGTTTTCAAATTTCAGGTAAGTGATTCGTAATATTATTATTATTATTATTTTTTTAAACCGTTTAAAACAACTTGTTACGAATAAAAAACGAAAAATTTTCAACTACTTTTTAATTTCACAAAAGGATGTAATAATATGCATATTACTCGACGATAATTAATTTATTACCGTTATCACGTGACGTTTCCCCCCCCCCCGCCCCCAAAAAAAAAAAACAAGAAAATCGACATGACGATGACGTATTTAAAATTTTTATTATTATCCTATTCGACAGAGCCATCATTTTGATATAAATTTTCTCTCAATTCGATGTAATACAACTTAATTATCATAAAACGAAATTTATACGCGTATTTAACCCAGGGTGCCATTTAAATATCATCTCACGGATGTCAGTTAACCATGATAATAATAATAATAATAAGAAAAAAAAAAGAAAAAAAAAAAGGGCAATTAATTGAAATTAAATTTAGCTTTTTTTTTTTTCTTTCTTTCTTTCTTCCCAGTCAAAAGGTCTCGTCGTGTCCATTAGCGTTCAAACAAGGATGCGACATAAGTTTTAATAAAAATTAACATTTTTTTTTTTTTTTCCCTCAAGACGTATTTCTAGACTTTGACATGCAAGTCGTTGGAATTATCTTGATATTTATTCAGACGACGTTAAGACTACCTACCACGCCCTTTACTTTTGAATATTATCTCCGATAACTTCCCGAAAAAACAAAAAAAATTAAAAAAAATATAAAAATTTTTTTTTTTCTTACCGCAATTTCCCTCTCCGTGTATATCCGGTGTTCCAAGTTTTTCTCTTCCTTCCTTTTTTTATTAATTCATTGAGAATTAAAAGACAATTCTTGGCGGCGAATTATTATTATTATTCGTCTCCTGTGAACTATTTTGGGCATTAATCATTTAATCAGTATTTTGCCCAAAGGCATTATTTTCATTTGGTAAATTCTCTCTCTCTCTCTCACTCTTCCCTTTAAATTTATTATTTCTCTCTTATGTTTCCTTTTACTACGTTCAAATTTTCCTTCGGCATCGTTTAAATGTTTATTTCCTGCATATTTACAATTACGCACTTATTCATTCGGATTCATTTTCCAAAAGTGAAACCGTTACGAGAGAGTCTTTTCATTTTCTTTCATTCTACCTAAAACAAAAACAAAAAATTCTTATTTTTACGATGAATTTATTATTATTATTATTATTATTATTTTCTATCTTAGGAAAGTAAATTTGGATTGATTTAATTTCATTTGACAATTCATTTTATATTGCGACCGATTGTGTTTAAATTAAAAAAAAAAAAAAAAATGTCTCCGACCCTGGACAACAAAAATGTCCAGTGAAGAGGGTTTAAAATTTAAGTTTCTTTTCTAAAATCTTTACTAGGGTTGATAATACGTCAAATGTAAATAGAATTAGGGTAGTAGTTCTCTAGGTTATGTAGGAAACTAACCCTCGAAAGTAAAGGGAAAATAATAAAATGAAAAAGAGGAGGGATGATTTCAAAAAAAGGAAAGAAAGAAAGAAAATTGAAAGTACGCTCGTAAGTTTAAGTTAAAAAAGTGTCCGAGTGTGTGTTCGTCTGTGTGTGTGTTTATAGGTCCCAATAGTCGATGCTTATCCTACAGGATTCTAACTGCAAAAAAAAAACTCTTGTAGATTAAAGAATAGTTTTTTTTTTTTTTTTTTTTTTGTTGCAACTTTTCAAAAGAATCCAAACAAAAGCTTCTGTCTTATTTGATTCACTAAAAGATATGAGGGGTGCTGAAGGCATTAAATAAAAGTTGGCCCCCCTATCGATGCCATCTTACAAAAAAAAAAAAAAAAAAAAAAAATCAAATAAATGAAATTTCGTTTTTCCCTTCTGTCATTTTTGTCTCTTATTGTTCCTTATGAATTTTTTTTTTGCTTTCTGCTCGACAAAAAAGAAAAAAGGAAAAAAAAATTCGTATTATTATCATTATTATTATAAAATTGAATTCATTGTGTTTTCCCGCGCAAATCACCCGATATTGACACAAAACAAGTATTAATTTTCAATAATAAAATCGTAATAATTTTCACCTTTCATTATTATTTCCTTTTATTTAATTTAACCGTCGTTTATAATCCACGAAATTCAAAATGTCTGATCGGGGAAAAGAAATTGTTTTTTAAACACGAATTAACAGTACCGTAATAAGGCAAAAAAATTTTCTGGAATTTTCGAAATTAATTTTTTTTTTTCAACTCGGACAATGCAAAACGGAATTTTTTTTTAAAAAAAAAAAAGAACGTTATTTTAATAAAAATTTAAATTGAACTTATTCGTAACGCGTCGTCTGCATTTTGTTCAACGTAAATATTAATTTTAAAAAAAAAAAATTCTAATATACTATACGTCATTAAAACGACTACGATAATAATAATAATAATAATAATAATTTTAATACACGAAATATTGAAAAAAAAAAAAAATTTGAAAACTCGCGCGTATGTAAAACAAAAATGATAATAATGATAATTGATTATTACCTTTTCCAGGGAATTTTATTATATTCAAATGGAAAAATATGCAAGGCAAGCAGTTAGCGAAGGAATTAAAAATGCTGAAGACATACACGTTAGCGCTGATTCAGAGATTTACAGAGTCCTAAACCTTCACTACAACAGGAATAACCACATAGAGGTATGGGGGCCACAGGTGCGAGCATTTCCGCTTTTTCTTCTTTTTGTCTTTTCTTTTTTTTCTTTTGTTTTTCACTTTCTAAAAAAAAAAAAAAAATAAATAAATAAATAAAATTATAATTTTTAATTGCATGAATTCGTTAAATTACGTAAAAAAGTAAAATAAATCAAATTTATCAATAATAATAATAATAATAATTTTTGAATTATTTTATTTTTTTTTGTCGATAAATTTTTTTTTTTTCTAAGGTTTTCATAAAAAGGTTATATAATTTCAGGTTCCTTCAAATTTTCGATTTGTTGTCGAGCAAACACTTCGAGAATTTTTCAAAGCAATTCAAACGGGAAAGGACACGGAGCAATCCTGGAAGAAATCTATATATAAAATTATATCCAGAATGGATGATCCAGTTCCTGATTATTTTAAATCTCCTAATTTTTTAGAACAACTCGAATGATTTAGTTAATTTTTTTTTTTTTTTTTTTTTCAATGCCTAATATTTAAAAAAATATTAATGATAATTTTTTTTTTTTTTTTTTTTGTAAAAACAAATTTTCGGCTGTGTTACCTACTCCCCGACACCCTATTCCCTCCCTCCCCGATACCCCTTTATCCCCCTTTTTTAAATTAGACAACCTTCATCAATAATAATAAGGTAAAGGCATAATACATATTATATTTATAGATTTTTGAAATCTTAACAATTTAATTTAATTTTTTGTTTGTGTTTCGTCTTTTTTTTTTTTTTTTTTACAAAAATCAAAATTAAATTTAAATTTTTTTTTTAAAGACGAAACAACATACCAAAGATTTTTTTTAAAAAAATTTTTTTTTTTTTTTTTTTTTTTTCTACGGGATTGAATAATAATAATAATAATTGTTAAGAAAGAGTTAACTGTATAAGTGACAGAAAAAGAAAAAGAGAGAAAAAAAATAAAAAAATATGAAAAAAAAACCGAAATAAAACAAATGATGATAATAATAATAATAATAATGCTAACATGACCATTTGCTAAATATAAAATGTATAAATAATAAATATTTTTTTTTATTTACCTATTTATTAAAACATTTCAAAATTTATTTATTTATTTATTTATTTATACATTTTCGTTGAGTTTTATTATTATTATTATTATTATTATTATTTATTTTTTTTCTCTCCTGCAATTCCTCGTGACACAATACATATATATATATTATATACATATATCTTTATATTTTTACAATAGTAATAATAATAATAATAATTATTATTATTATTATTATTTTTTGCACACGATATGCATGCATTTAAAATAAGTGTGTGGCTGATGACGCGTATTCGAGGGAATTGAAAAGCAAAAAAAAAAAAAATATATATATATATTATAATATATATATATATAAATATAAATGCTAGTCATACGTTTTCGTTTATAAACCAAACATTTATAAAATAATAATGATAATAATAATAATAATAATTGACCTTGATTTTAAAATGAGGCAAAAGCATTAATCAATATATACGTATATATATGTATGTATACGTATTAATAAATTTAATTTTGTTTGTTTGTTTGTTTTTTTATTTTTATTTTTTATTTTTTAATTTGTAAGTTGTAAGTAAAAAAAAAAAAAAAAAAAAGAAAAGAAAAAAAAAAAAAACTTTTCATTATGAACACAAATGCAAAATAATAATTAATACATGCACTAAATGCAATTTTCATAATTAGATTGTAATAATAAATAATAATAAAGATCAATAAAAAAAAAAGATAATAATTATAATTATTATTATTATTATTATTTTGTTTTTTGTTTTTTTTTTATTTTTCTCATAACGCATATAATAAAAAAAAAAAAAATGAAAAACAATTAGGGGTTGTATTAATTGAGTCACACACACACTCACACACATATACATTAATTTTAACAATTTAGTGTAAATAATAAATAGATTTTCAATGATATGTTTTTTCTTACAGAATAATAATAATAATACAAATGTGAAAAAAACGTCATTTTAACTGTTTTAAAACAATACTAATACTAATACTACTAATAATAATAATACTGTAATAAACTGTAAAACATACATGGACTTTGAAACAAACAAAAAAAAAAAAAAAAAATTTTTTTTTTGCTTTCAATATATTTTTCATTATTGAAACTAATAATAGTTAACTTGTAAATAATTATTGATGAAAAATTAGGTTCGAACCTGATTTTTAATTTGAAAAAAAAAAAAAAGGTTTGCAGTAAAATGTAATTGACTGCATCTAAATAAATATCTTAATGAACAGTTATTTAATGTACACATCATAAATCACGATACAAAAAAAAAAAAAAATTTATTACAATTTTTATTAAACATGGTCCATGTATGTAAAAAATAATTTTTTTGTTGTTAATATGTAAAACTCATATAATATTATTTCAATATTTTAATTTTTTCATTCGAACAATGAAAAATAATAATCATGGCGTATGGAAAATTTTTTCTAAACACAACAAATCACATATTAATTTTTTGCTTTTGTTCAAATGTTCATTTCACATGAAATATTATAACAATAGCATTTATTAACTAGAAGTATTTTGAAAAAAAGAAAAAAAAATGGAAGTAAATTCTGCTTTTACTTCCTAGCGTTTAACTTCAAAAACGAAAAAAACAAAATAAAATAAAAACAAACCAGGCATGAAATTTTCATAATGATATCAATGAACAATTATTTAATTACGTTTATTTTAAACGTTCATTGATTTAAAAACTATTGATTGATTGATTGATTGATTGATTGATAGAAAAAAAAAACAATCAATACATTTTACACGTAAAATTTCAAATAACGAATACACATTCAACTTTAAAAAGCTTTGCACAATTTTAAAAAAAACCGTTAAAAATTACTGGCGGCAAATTTTTCCGCCAATCAGAAATTAATAATAAAAAAAACCACCGCCTTGGTATAAAAAAAAAAAAAAAAAAAAAATTAATTTTCAGTAAAGTAAACAGGAAAAAAAAAAAAAAAACATTTTATTCGGTTTTTTTTTTTTTTTAAATAAATTAAATTTCAATAATTATTTTTTTTCTACGGTTTGGGCGTTGATCTTCATACAAAATCAATTTCAATTTTTTAATTAATAATAATAATAATAATAATAATTTTTTTCTCTATAAATAAAAATGATACCAATTAAAACTGTTTTAAAAATAAATTTAAATCAAAATTAAAATGCAAACAATTTTTTTTTTTTTTTTTACATAAACCGGTGAATTAATTAATTAATAACATTAATAATTTTACAAACAGTTTTAATTTGATTATTTTAATTTTTTTTTCATTAAAAAAAAAAAAAAACCGTTAAATTTTTTTACGAAACATAATAATAATAATAAAAAAAGTTCACATATGTATATTTTATTCATGTGTGAATTTAAATTTAAAAAAAAAAAATTATTAAAATCAAATAAATTAATAAAATTTGAAGTCATTCAATTCAATTTTATAATTTATTTGATTTTATTAATTAATAAACTTACATAAAAAAAAAAAATTTAATTTTAATTTATTTTTTACTTTACTGAATTACAATAATTGATTTTTTTTTTTTTTGCAATATTTTAGTCTAGTTTGAGCATTTTTTTTTTACATTAAAACAACAACAACCAGAACAATCAGAACAACATAATTATAATTTTTTAAATGGTTCAATTGATAACAACAATTTTATTTAAATAATAATAATAATGATGATGATGATAACAATTATTATATTAATTTTAATTTATTTATTTATTAGGGGCATTTTTTTTTTTTTATTTTTATTTTATTATTATCTTTTTTTTTTTTTTTTTCTTTTTTTGTAGTTTTTATTTTTTTTGATTTTAATTTCACTGATGATATAAACATGAAGCTAGTCTTTAAGGTTAGGAAATTTATAATTTTTTTTTTTTTTTTTTTGTTTAGTAAAACAAAACCGGAATGAATATTTAAAAAAAAAAAAAAATTATAAATTATCATATTTATACGAAAAATATTATTTAAAAATCATTCCTGTTAAAACAATTCATATTTTTTTAAATGATAATAATAATAATATATACATATATATATACATACATACATAAATTATATATATATAATTTTAATTTTTAAGTTTTATTTTGTTTTATTTTATTTTATTTTTATTATTTTATTTTTCCTTTTTTTTTTTTGTTTTAATTATTATTATTATTTGATTTCACACGTGATTACACACGTGAATTATCGAATTTTTACGATGATCGAAAATCGATTTCAAATAAAACCACACGACTTAAAGGCATTCCCAAAAACAATTTTAATTTTTTTTTTTTTTAGGTTCAAACTAGACTTTTCTTATTTTTTATTTAAATTATCTACATACACAAAAAAAAATCATAGTTATCAATTAAATATCAACAATAATTTAAATTGATAATGATAATTTTATTTACAAAAAAAAAAAAAAAAAATGATAAGAATGATGGTTGCAATGCATATAACATAAATAAAATGCATTTACACCGATTCAAATCAATAATTTTTTTTTTTTTTTTACGCGAATATATATATTCATATAAATATATATAAATATAATAATAATAATGATTTCATTCGATTAAAAAAAAAGAAAAAGACGAGTGAAAGACGAAAAAAAATACAAAAAAAAAAAAATTTAAAAAAAAAAACAAAAAAAAATTACAAAAAAAAGCCAAAAAAAAAAAAAAAAAAACTTATTTTCTATCAATACATAAATAATTAATATAAATAAGTCATATTTTTAAGGTTTCATTTTTTTTTTTTCATAAATAATTTTTTATTAATTGTACTAAACGAGATTTAAATTATTAATTTAATCAAACAGGAATATCCCTTTGAATTAAAAATAAAAATTTTTTTTTTTTTATTATTTTACAGTATAACATTATAACAGTATAATATTTATACGAAAAACAAAACAAGTTGATCAAGCTGCAAACCGATAACAATAGAATTTTTTTTCTCTTATTTTTTTTTTTTTTTTTAAATAACACATCGTTAAGAATAATAATTATTATAATTTATTAAAAATACGAGTTAATACGACATTAATGCATCATGTGTGCGGTGTAATAACAAAAAATTTAGGCAAATTAATCAAAACACTTATTATTATTATTATTATTATTAGACAAAATCTCTATGGAAAACGTATTAAAAAAAAACATTTTGGTATTAATAATGCGGCAGATTTTTTTTTTTTTAATATTATTATTATTATTATTATTATTATTATTATTATTATTATTATTATTATTATTATTATCAAACGATAATTTTTAAAAACACGTGGAATATCATTTTTCAGCCACATTTTAACCATCTATTTCAATTCCTCATTGTTTGTTTAAACAATAAAAGAATATGGTTAAGACCAATCGTTAAACACACTTAATTAAAAACAAAT